GTTTGTATTTATAGATGAACTGTTTTCGTAAAAATCTATCAGAATTGATGTGAACATTTACATCATCACATGACTGACTTGTTTATATCTATCACTTGTTTATGCAAAGTTTGTTTTTTACAATGACACAAAACCTTGGCTTAGAGTTTTGTCATATGTGATAGTCCCAAGGATTCGCATTTATCGATTGTTACAGTAGACAATTTAAACTTTAAGAATAGGATTTTTATATGAATGTTCGACAAGTGTATATCCGACTTTAAATTACTTTAACCTCAATCTTCTCTGAAGAATTTTGATGTCTTTCCTCCATGGTGACTTTATTGTACGTTCATGTGTAAATCTCAAATGGTTTGTAATCTTTTGAATATATTAGATTCCATACCTGCCAGGTGCGAGAACGGACTTTTTTTCCCAGATGATTGTTGTAAAGTTTCGTCAATGAGTCGTGTATATTCAAGAATGACTTTGACATTTTATTAGTTTTCACGGCTGTCGGATGAGGCTACCGAGTCATATTTCGCGCAATGTTTACTACTTTTTTGTGTGATTTCACTACAAACATTATAGTTGATATCCAAGTCTTAAAATGGTTAAACATACTATTTAAATCCGACCACGCCCCTCCCCCTTTCCCTCTTCTAGATCCACCTATGCCCGTGTCTAGTACTGCTCATCAAATACATTTATTTAGAGGTAACGAGAACCTGACATTGTCCATTTTACATGTAGTATCTTTATTGCTTTCTTCTAATAAGCAATCAGTATTTCATTGTATGTATTAACACGTTAGCAAGCATCGTGTATATTCTCATCATTAAGACATTTTTATGTATCGAAATACCCAGACAAAATTAATATTCATTGAAAGCGACAATTTAGAAAAGATGCATCAACTTTTTTTACATATTTTTATAGAATTGATGCAAATTGAAATGCATACAAGACTTGATAAAAAATGAGTTGTTAAGTTCGAACAAAATTAATAACAAAATGTATTTTGATTAGTTTATATGACCAATGTTTTAGGGGCACGTTATGCCTCAAAAATGAATTAATTTTTAGTTCTTAAGAAAGGGCAAACATGAAATTATAATGTTTAAATTATGGTTTTAGAGAATGTTTGATGCTTGTTATCTTAAGAAAGTAGCTGATTTGTCATAAAAGTAGCAAAACGTAAACAAAGTAGTATTTTTATTTCCGTACAAAAATAATTCACTGTAACTTTCCAAAAATCAGCCGATGAAAAAAATGCGGTAATTGGCCGACGAGTAACATTTTGGAACTATAAAGCAAACCAAAATTAAAAAATCTTTTGAGAAAAAAAGTATTTCTGAGGCATAATGGGCCTCTAAGTAAATATTAGATAATTTAAAAGAAAAAAATGCTGAAAAAAAAAACGATAACATTGATAATAATGAAGTATTGCAACAAAATTGCTTTGTAATGAGATATTTTTAACCAAACACTTCAAGTCGTCATGTTTCAGATTCGATACTATGGATATATAACGTGTAGCATATATCTAAAAAACCCACTTAAAATCGTTATTAAATTAAACAGATGTAAAATACTGCACTGTGCAGAACACTGTGCCATTAAGATGCGGTTGTTATTTGAATTGGTTACGGTAATAAAATGTAGATATCTACCCTATCGAACATTAAAGTTGTTTGATTTGATTTTTATAAACAGATGCTCTTTTGGTCATGCAATATTCCCTTTTTCAAAATACTCTTATCATTCGACTTGTAGAAACCGAATATTTAGTTTTGTCTATTTTCGAGATTGTACTCAAGCGTGATTAACTTTACGAATTGCAACGTTAGTGTAATATCATCGTTTAATTCTGCCCGGTTTGATTAAGCTTATGTTAAATAAGAGATACTGGAAACGCCCCCTAGCATCGTTCAAAGTAGAGCTTAGCACCCATTGCATGGTTGTTAATGTAGAATTTAGAAACATTTGCAGATGTGTAAATTAACAATTGATGTATGTTTGTCATTTGAGAAGTTACATCATTTGACTTCTTTTTTTAAACAACTATTTTTTATCGAATTATGTTTTGAATATCTTTTAATAATTATTCTTAGGTTTCATGTCGTTCGTGTAATTCAGAACGCAAGTTAACAATTTCTTAAAATAATCAAATAATCAGCACTAGCTAATCTGACTGGTTGAGTGACAGTCATTGTAAAAAAAATAACAAAGGGTGCGATATTATTCTCTTTTTATTTACATGTCCAAGTTGCTTACATAAGGCTATTAAAGTAAATCACAATGTCGCTTATAGCTTTAACAAAACAATAACTTATTGTTACTTGAGTACGGATAGCTTTCACTCCTTGAGAAAAGGCAAACATGTATTTGATAATGTTCTAATAATGGATATAAGACTTGTCAGATGCCTTTTAGGTAAGTAGTGTGAATGTCATATAATTCATCAAAAATATAGCAAAATAGAAACAAAGAAAGTTGTATATAATGAACTAGATCTCTATAACTGTACTAATTGTTTTAAAACAGCAAACAAACTAATAAAATGGTTCAGCTAGACGGCCAGTAAGTTCCTTTTCTAAAATTCTGACGAGTCATCAATATCTGTTTGAACGAATTTCTGCTTAAAAAATTCAAACGGCCTCTTCAAAATCCAACAAGATATGTATTGTAAAGAAGTTAAATCAGGACACTATACTGGACGGATATTGTTTTGTTGTTTTTTTTAGAGCAAAAAAAAACATTGTAAATTCCTCCTGCAAAAGCACGCTTTTCCCAAAGGATTCATAAGGGATTTCGCTATGCCGACGAGAGATTATTGGTAGATTACTGTTTAGACAAACTGTCAAACAGACAAGGTTATCCATTAATCTCCAGTTAGACATTTATACCAAAGAAAGATTTAGAATTAATTCATATTATATGACTTATTTGATTCAGCCATAAATCTTGTTTTTTTATGTCGATTGCGTTAATGGTTTAATTGGCAAAAGAAAACTGAATCATTTGCTGAAATTTTAATTCCTTTTTAAATTTCATAATCTCTCGTCGAAATCATTTTATTTTTGTTTTATTATTATTTATTGTTCAATTTATTGATTTTCGAGAGATTCTTCGTTAATTCCGTTATTCATTACGATTTATGGCAGATTTACAAGTTTGTTTTTAATGATAGAAAATAAAAGTTCTCTGGATACTTTCATGCATAATTAGGGGCCGATGGCCTAGTGGTTAGAAGTTAGCATTGCAATCGCGAGGTCGCAAGTTCGAACGCTCGATAAACTTATTTGTTCGTAAATTCTTTCACTTTTTTATTTATATGCAACATTTAATTTAATTTAGCAGATAACTGTAGTTATACATTAAACATACATACCGTTAAGCCATACTATAATATCTGTAAGATTTACTTCGGAATCCGATTATTACAGACAAAAGGTCACTGAATATTCAAATGCCTCAGGTCAATATTGCCAAACAATACGGGATATAAATGAATTCGTATACAGTGTTCTGAACGCTCAAAATTAAAACTTGTTCAAGTGACTAACAATCTACTTTCCTATGCGTCGGTCGAATATTTCACTACCGATCATTTTCTAACGCCTAGTGTATCTAATTCGCTGCTAATTGAGCGTACTGAAAATCGCAATATCCATCTAATAAATTATTCCTTTTATAACTTCACATTAAGTACTGATTGATACCTACCAATGTAAGTATAGACCTATCTTCCATTCTGAATTAGGAATATCACTTTGGTTAAGACTTCAATACAGAGCTTGAAAAAAATGAAAATTCGTTTGAGTTAAATCTATTTATTTGGCTTTGATGAAGAAGAGGCAGGATGTTTTATTTACAATAAATTGAAACTAGCCTTGTAGCTAAATAATAAGGTATCTTTAAAGCAATTGCGATCAATTCAACTTCATACAGATGCCTGAGCACGGGTCGTGAGAAACTTTTGATTGGTCTCAAAACATGCCTTTCTTTCCTTTTAAATAACATCAAACCTTCATTCCGCCCCCACACTTAATTTAATGCGCACATCACTATCAATTAACGCTAATGCAACTTCGCGCGTAATGTAACTTTGTATCCATTCAAAGGAACTACTTTTGTGTCTTAATCCGCCCGCATCTTATCTCTGTACTTTAAAAGCAGGAAGGATTAAGATGAAAATATAAGAAGATTAATATTAATCTTCAAAAAGACATCAGTCAGAAAATGTAAGATGTATAAATAAGAATATTCGCATCTTTCCATTTTGTATTTTTATGATGGCTTTGCTTTAGACTGAAAGACGTATCGAGAATATTGTTGTTTTTTTTCCGCATACGTTTCCCATCCATTCAATAACGTTTAGTTTAATTTATACCAAAATAAGATACACCGTTGACATAGATCTACTATCTTTTCTGTTTTTGAATATTTAATGTCAGCTTAGCGTTCCGTTCAATTTTATTTTTCCAAATACAAAAATGGGACCATGTGAACGATATTTATATCTTATAAATCTAGCTGACCTTCAAAAAGATCCATATATTTTAGATTTTGCACAAATCGTTAACAACCACTTATCATGGTTCAATTCATTTCAACATCAGCATAGAAGATATTATTAAGCCACGCTAAAGGATGTTATTTAGATATATAGTTTAAAATTCGGATCAACCAACCGTCTAATTTCACCCTCCATAGCCATTGTTACGGTTTGAGGACTTTAATGAGGTTTGGTTGAAACGGTGATTGTAAACACCGTATCTAAAATTAAACTTTAAATGTGTTGGACTTATTTGATTGTGTTGATGACTTATCATGAAAATGAGCTTTTTAAATTGTAATTCATTCATGCCTCCATTCTCATTCAATTTCATTAAATTCGTGTTACAGAAATAGTATTTTAGTTGAAATATGGCAAAGTACCTTTAAATAATCTGATACTTGCCTTTGAGCGTTAATCTATGTTTCACGAGATATAACAGCTTATATTTTCATTACAGATAAAATGAAGGGATGGACACATGCTGTAACCTCCGTGTTTATTGCTTCTCTAATGTCAATGACAAGAGCACGCGCTTCCAAGGTTACAACTACAAATGGTGATATTGAAGGATTTAGTGTCGTAATCGATGACGTCACAGTGGATATCTACTTAGGTATACCGTTTGCAAACCCGCCTTTGGGACAACTACGTTTCCGTGCGCCGCAACCGGTAAGTAATTGGACCGGAGTGAAGGAGACCAAAACTTTACCGAACAGCTGCATCCAGACTGTAGACGGGTACTTCGATCGATTTGAAGGAGTAGAAATGTGGAATCCCAACACCGATATTAGCGAAGATTGTCTATATTTAAATTTATGGGTCCCACGATTAAATAAAACTAATTTTGCTACAACTCTAATTTGGATTTACGGTGGATCGTTTACGTTTGGAACTAGTACGCTAGACGTTTACGATGGGCGGTATTTAGCCGCAAAGCAGGGAGTTATAGTGGCATCTATGCAATACAGAATGGGTGTTCTAGGGTTTCTGTTTACAGACACTGACGATGCGCCAGGTAACATGGGCCTATTAGATCAGCAGCTGTCAATAAAGTGGGTATATGACAATATTGAAAATTTTGGTGGCGACAGTAGTAAAATCACATTAATTGGTGAAAGTGCCGGTGCTTCTAGTATAAGTCACCATATGTTAGCTAATTCCTCATGGCCTTATTTTAATAATGCAATTTTGCTAAGTGGTACATCGCTGTGTCCATGGGCGCATGACTCGCCAGACATATTGTTGGAACACATTAAATCATTTGCAAATATCATGAACTGCTCAAACTCCGATAAAAAGGAGATTGTAAAGTGCCTTCGCAATAAAGATGCTCTGGACCTTGAGGCCAATCAATGGGAAATAAATTATAATAAGAATATTGGAACATTCGGCCCCACAACAGACGGCATATTTCTAACGGATACTCCCTCTATTTTACTTAACTCAGGAAATTTAAAAAGCGCTGATATTTTGCTTGGAAACACAAAAGATGAAGGTGAATATTGGCTGATTTATTGGTACCCAGACATATTTCCAAATATCTCAAACCCAGCCCCATTAAACAGTAGCCAGTTCTTGCACACAATGCGCGAGGCAACAGGCTGTAATGAGGATGACCTTGACTGTGAAGGTGTGTTGTTTACATACAATGCGTCAAATATACCGTCCACTAGAGGGAGTTATAGGGATATTCTGGACGACATAGGTAAGGTTTTTTGTCTTCATATACTTATATTAGGCTACATATGGACAAGATTCTAGAATATATTATGGAGGAATGATAATTAAATAATTATTATTCATCATATTTCGCCTTTGTAACGTCGAGTTTTATTGGACAATCGTCACCAGTCTTTTTTAAACAAGAACAATTTTTCCCCTTTATTTTGATCGAAGGAAGCAAATGCAAGTATCATAAAATTGATTAAAGACTTGAATGTTTCAAAACCATATCTAGAAGATGTAAAAATCATTCGGAAAAAAGCCTGTTGTCGTTGCTGTTGTTTTTATTTTTTGGAATTCAAATCAAAGAAATACTTGTATGTTGTTTACCACAATATAAAATCACAATCACCTTTGTTGCTTAAAATGAAAGAAAAACCTGATCAGTTGCATCTTCTCTGAAATTTCTCTTGCATATTCTAAGTCATGTAACATTAAGTAATTGCACCATGAAAGCGTTTATCTGCGTCAGATTGTCATTGTTCTTCCTTTTCATGTAGGCTCTTGCTTGAATTTTTAACAAGCAGGGAGTATAGCATAATGTGCGGGATTTTCATGATATTTATGATATTAAACAAACTAAATAACATTACGTTTTCAGTGGGTGATATCACTTTTAAATGTGACGTACGAAGCTTTGCTAGTCATCATGCCAGCCAATCACATGGGAGAACATATATGTACTCATTTGAGTATCGTCATTCCGCCAATCCTTGGCCGTCATGGATGGGATCGTTACATGGATACGAAATAGAGCCGGTGTTTGGTCAACCATTTAATCCAATGCTAAAGTATAGCGACCTTGACAGAGAGGTCAGTGCAAAGGTCATGGATTACTTTACAACGTTTGCGAATACTGGGTACGTGTCAGTTCTACTGTATTCTTTTCTTTCATTTTTCAAATATTAACAGACGCATTTTTATGTAAAGTTTGGGGAACTTTCTGTTGAAAACGTGTCAGAGTTAAATCGTATACATATGTATGCACAGTGCGTTAACTGGAGTGCATGTATTAGTTACCCGCACTCCAGAGCATGCCCATTGATTGGCTCATTTTTGCTGGGGTTTACTTATTGTGACGACAGAAAAGGGAAAGCAGCGATAGAAATATCATATTCAGATGCTCGGTCATTGCTTTTTTCTGGTGTTTCATATTGTGACAACAGGGAACGTGTTTTTATGTTTGACTATGATACAAAAGAGAAAGAACATCAAAACACTCGGCAACATGATAAACACTCGGGAGCTAAGCCCCCTCGTACAAATCAGATAGCCTCGTGTTTGGATGCTCTTTCTATTACTTATCTGGTCTATAAATGCAGATTGTTAATGAAAGGGAAGTAACTGTTGAAAATCAAAATTTTAGACACCTGCAGAAAACGAACGAGCAAATGACATATGATTATAAATTAAACATAGTAACACATTACTTCATTTTCATATTTAGTACTTCTTTAATACAGAGGTGTATTTTTTAAACTCATACAATGGAATTTAATTACATTTATATCGCTTGGAACCAGATCTATAAGTTTATTTTCTTCCTTTTAAATCGATCATGATAAAAAATATTACGACAAGCATTTAGTTGACAGTCAGAGCCAATACGGCATGAAAAGTGGCCAATATCCGGACATGGAGCATTTTAAAACCGTGTCAATACTTACTGTATTTAATTTAATGATCCTTAATGAATCTTACTGTGATTTTGTCATTTATAGATAATCGTTACAAATTTCATTTAATGGAATTGTTATTACTTCGATGGTTTCGTATTTTTCCTTTCTTTGTCTTAAATTTATATTGGCCGATAACTTCACCTTTATCCAAAAAGAAAAGCCAATATTAACCCATTAAAATAATTTTTGAAAAATAAAACTAATAATATTACATTAATTAACAATATATTAAAAATGTCGATAACTAAAAACAAGTAAATGATACCTTGCATGTAGAGGTGTAAAATTTATGGTTATGTTTAGTTATTGCAAAATACATTGCATGCGTCTTTTATCTATTTTTGGAAACAGGACACGCTACTGCTACTAAATATTCGCCATTTGTATAAAATAAAAGGGGAATAACTATATGACATTTTTATGCTCAATCCTTGCAGGAATTTAGATTCATTTGGCAATGAGTGGCCAGAATTTACAACAAACTCAGAGCAACATATCGTTTTTTCTCAGGACGGAACCACGCATATACGAGAAGGATATAGAACTAAAGAATGTTCTTTCTGGGAATATCTCATGCCGAAACTCAAACAAAAAATGGCAGGTATGCAGAGTTATCTCCCTTTGCTTATCTTTACAAGTTTTTCCATATCATACTTGCTCCTCCAACTGTAACAAACTTTATCACTAAATAACAGTATCAGTTGCGTTCATTTATTTAAAGTTACATTAAATAAATATGTAAAAATATTTTTCCGTCGGCCTAAAAATCAAACATTCAACAGTTTCATTAACCTTTTTAAAAGTTTTGTTGTAAATCTCATCAAATTTGTTCATAAATTAGGATTTTAAACGGGAAACCCCACGGTAACACTAAAGTTCGTATACGAATTTTAACATGCAAATGAAGACTATAATGAGCTCGTGTATGCGCTACGTCACAGTTTTATAGTTGCTATCCGGAACACAGCAAATGTGATATTTTCTTGTGCAAACACACTTTAACCGTGCACTAAACCTGGGGTTCAGTAAAAGTAATCATCTCGTAAAAAGATTAAATTTGTATGAAAACATCCGTTACAATGCGGAAATATGCCGTTAAATTAGGACTGCCACTTATAGTCATGTTTGTTGATTTAATATTGATGTACGGATGATCCGAAGGCGGAGTTTCTCATGCAAACAGAAATTGTACTTCCCATTTCGCCACAATGAGGTTACCTCTTTTTATGCTAATAAAACTCATTTTGGTTATTTGAACACCAAAATAAGACCTGGAGTCGATATAAAACCCAATTTATTAATGAAATGTCGCTATTTAGTTTTTGATGAAATTTATTAAATGTAACTTTAATTTATTGCTTTGAAAACATCATATGGTAATCAGATTTCGTAACTAAATTAAGCATGTTAGCGTACGCTAAGCGCAATAGCTTAAGCCAAAGTCAGCTTTTAAGAAAGCTTTAAAACAGTATTCGAAAAGAAAACCCAACTAAAAATACCAAAGTAGTGAAGCATGCATTAGATATACGTATTTTCCGCTTTGATAGGCTTTATTTTTATAAAGAAAAGTGTTGTCTGAAATCACTAGTCATACAAGAGCTTGCTAAGTTTATTTGTAAAGTAAGGATGCCTGACACACACTTGTGTTGTCAAGACTATGAGTTGTCAAACACATATTGTTTGCATTTAGAAATAAGCCTGACAGTGTTTGACCTTATTTGCTTGACAATTCAGCACTAAAGAGTATGGGCAGGCTCTTTTTTCTTAGTACTTCCTTTTCAAATGCACATTGCACCTTTGACAATACGCCATGTGACATGTGCAAGAATCTACGTTTAAAGCAATTGTAAAAAATCGTAAAACTTTTGGACTGTGAAAGGTCCGAGACAGCAGATGGACCATTTTAAACGTGAACGAAACATAAGTAAAATACAGTGTAATTATGGACCTCGAGGCCTGAATAATAAACACACAAATTTCCATTGCATTATTTTTCCGTGCGGTTGTATTATTCAAATTGCTTTATTGCACACTAATGCGTAAAAATCTTTGAAACATATTTTGAGAAGAAAGAAGTCCCTAGTCTCTATTAGTAACATATTTTTCACTCCGTATTTTCATTGCTCCAGTTTACGTGATTTGTGATGCAAATTTTAAAATTGTTACGACTAAAGTAATGCTTTTTACGCGATGTTAATGCATTAAAATGATGATTGAATTTGCATTCCAATTTTAATTGCATGCTTTGTGCAGAATGTTAATATTCAGCTTTATTAAATTTCTATCATTTATAACATCCATGCATCCTGCAAATGAACATCGTTCTATTTTTCAGAAAACAAAACGACAAGTGGCGCCATCTTTCATAGCCTTTCCACGATAATCGTCTGCGTGATTGTGATCATTTCTGCAATTATCATCAGATGATTGATCTGCTTGCATGCACATTTCATTTGTCGTCTGCATCGTCCATCAGTTTCCTAACAACCGAAAAGCAGCGCGCGCAGACTCACCAGAAAAACAGTGATGAAGAGAAAAATGTTTAAGATTTTTATTACATTGTTCGCATCATATATCTACACTTGGTTTTCATGCTGACAGTCAAGTCGAAACAGATGACTTTCTTGGGTCCATCGAATTCTTGTTCACTGGCAATATAGATGTAAAGGAAATCTTATGCTCTCAGAAGCATTGTAAAATGCAAAGAAATATTTGCTAGCATTCCATTTAAAACTCAATTTCCATCACAGTTTCGTTTATTGCCGAACTTTGAACTTGTCCAACTTTGAACTTGTCCGTCTGGTATGCTGGAATGATTTAGTCTGCTTTCAGGTCCACCCGGATAGCACGTGTTCTCAAAATGTTGCAGTTCAAAATTGACTGGCTGACACATACATCTTAATGTTCGATTTTTATTCATTTAAAAATTTTTGTTTATGCATAGTCATTATGTTTGCGAAGACAACATAATACTCATATATTGAAAACGGGGCTAAACTTTTTTTTAAACATTTTTTTATTGTTAAATGCATAATGACGGGTAAGCAGTCGGGACGACAAAAAGCCTTGCCCTTTTAAAAAAAGGGGGATTTAACGAAAAGCTTTGACTAAAAAGTGTTTTACATGGATATTTTACGGGGTAAATTTTGGGTTTAAGTATTTAGTTAAAACATTCAAATACATTTGTACATTATTTAATCAGCGGCATTGTTTAGTTATTATAATTCCATTTGTGTGTCATCATTTTTTATTTCATTTTGTATATAATTTTCATAGAAATGGGTAAAGTTCACATATCATTAGTGATAGAATGTCAGTTTTTTTGTTAACAGTGTAATATTTGAACAAACTCGAGCCGCCATATTGGTATTTTCTCAAATAATGACGTCACACAGGAAAACACCATCTCACGTGACAAATATATGCTAAAAACAGGTACACGAAACCGAAGCTGCTTAGGGGGTTGTTACCTTTAACCTGCGCAGCCATGCGACCAGTGCAGACCAAGGTCAGCCGTGCGGTCATGGTCTCCACAAATCACCATTCAGTCAGTGTTTATTTTGAAATTTTCCTAAAAATGATGAACGGTCAAGTCCAAAATTCGTTTGGTCAGCGTTGATACCAATTGATTGCACTTCACGCTCTTCGAAAGCTCATATTTATTCGACACATGGTGTCACTTTGATATCGCCACTCATAATGTAAAGGTTAATGTATAGAAAATTAATCGTTGTGTGTCATTTTGAACAATTGAAACTGACTTATAATGTTATCATTCACGAATATATGGGTAAAGTGATTACTAAAATCTTTAAATTTGCCATTTAGTTAATTGTTTCCTTACGTGAATGCAACATTATACCTCAGAAATAAATAAATTTTTACTTCTATAGAAAGGTCAAACATGAGTTTTATAACGTTTAAATAATGATTTTAGAGCATGTTAGATCCTTGTTACCTGAATAAAATAGCGCTAAATGTAAAATTATGTCACAAATGCAGCAAAATGTATAATCAGGCTTCAAGCTGTCCAGTTAGATAACTTGGCAAAATGTGCCTAACTTGACGGAAATCGCTTTTTAGCTCACCTGAGCACGAAATGCTCAAAGGTGAGCTTTTGTCATCACTCTGCGTCCGTCGTGCGTCGTGCGTCGTGCGTCCTTCAAAAAATGGCGTCAAACTTTTCAAACAACATCTCCTCCTAAACTACATGGCCAATTGCAACTAAACTTTACAGAAATGATCCTTAGGTGGACCCCTTTCAAAGTTGTTCAAAAATTTAAATTCCATTAAAAACTCTGGTTGCCATGGCAACCAATAAGAAAAACTTAAAAAATCTTCTTCTAAAAAACCGTAAGAGCTAGAGCTTAGATATTTGGCATGAAACATCTTCTAATGAGTGCCTACCAAGTTTGTTCAAATCAAAGCCCTAGGGTCAAAATTGGCCCCGCCCCAGGGGGTCATTGATTTTCCCTATATGCATATAGTAAAAACTTAAAAAATCTTCTTTTAAAGAACTCAAAGAGCTAGAGCTAAGATATTTAGCATGAAACATGTTCTAATGGGTGTCTACCAAGTTTGTTCAAATAAAAGCCCTGGGGTCAAAATTGGCTCCGCCCCGGGGGTCATTGATTTTCCTTATATGTGTATAGCAAAAACATATATATATATACATGCATACATATACAACCAAGTTTGTTCAAATAAAAGCCCTGGGGTTTAAACTGGCCCCGCTCCAGGGGCCTATATACAGGTGAGCGACTTTGGGCCATCATGGCCCTCTTGTTTATATTTTCTAACTCACGGAAAATTGCGATTCATGCCGATTTTTCACGAACTTACATTGAATGTTGTAATTACGGCAGCTATGTTTCATAGAATTCCCAATTTTTGTTAAAGCAGCACGCCCCCTGAATTTTTGTATGATTTAAAGTACATTTGTATTATATAACCTCAAGCTTACGACCACAGGTTTGGGTGTAAGCTTTTACTGTATATCACAAGTTAAACAAGGCAATTACATACATTACAAATAATGTGTTTTGTACCGTTCCATGCAAGGATCTTCTCCAAGTGACGCAGATATGCTAGATGAACAAGTATATTTACGCTTACCCTTCGTACCGGGTTTGTTTGGTTCGATGGCTTATACATGTGTATATGCCTGAAAGTCTTACTATCTCGTAGTAAAATATAGCCAATGGCACAAAAGCACATAAAAGGCGTATAACAAATCTGTATTCATTATTATTGTACCTACATGTATGTTAAAGAGTTTCGTTTGGACCTAGTGCGCGCTACATATTATAAAACTGCATCATTATGCTCTGACAGTTTTTCATCATTTGAATCATAGGCCTGTATTTTATAATCATAAAGTGTTCGCGTGTATTATGATTTATAAAGTATTTGTTTTTTCGTAAAAAAAAATGCGTAATAAAGTAACACTCCAATTAGAACACGTGAAGGCAGAGGTTAAACATTTTAGGCAATTTCATGACGTGAAAAGATGTATTTAACGAAAACAAAAGATTAATGAATGACGAGGAAATCACTGAATAATTGGATTAAAGCACCGTATTTAAGCCCAAATTGCACTGAATAATTCACCCGTTTAAATTGTTTAAATACAATTGTAGTATCTTGATACCTTTCTCTAGTGAATATTGACGTGATTAATGATAAAAGTAATTTTTCTCGTGCATTACGCCACAATTTTTCAGCAATCCCATTTAGATAACGTGACTTTTAGCAGCGTTATCATAAATTAAATAGCCCGCTTTAGTATGTCATAATTTGAATTTTATTTCTTTATGGTTTATCTCGTCTCTAGAAAATGTTTTCTTTTGTATTAAATTTCTAAATATTTTTGTTAAAATATGTATCACAATGTTATCCGGTTTGGAATCACGTGACTTTCGTTTCATTTTTATATTTTTGGCTTGCAGCCATTTCATATGGAAAACTTGTTCCGGTTAGGTGGTTTCCTGCTTACATCTGTTGATGCATGATTGAACGGGAAACCAGCTGCAATCGTGCCAATCGCAACTTTTTGGCCTTTTCCGTCAGTCTTCGGATTAATGATAATAGCCGATGTAGTTCCGATTGCAATCGTGATAATTCGGCCGATTTCGTCATACTGCGGAGTAATATTACGGAAATCTAAGCTATTTTAGTTACTTCGGTAATCCCAGTTTGTGTATATAAATAGGATTTCTATTTTTACTTGATTTATCGGTATAAACGAAATTGTTCGTTTCATTTGTTTTTCAAGACGCAAAAGTTAGTTTCTTTTATAATTGTTTTTTTTTGTCTGTATTAGTTTTATACAATAGAGAATGGTGACTGTAGTATTATTCCGTCTTCAAAGGGTGGTCCTGCTTACCAAATCACGCATGATCGAGTTATATTTAGATCTACTGAACGCAATTCAACTTCTTGGTGAAGTAATCTAAAAATAGCCCATGCATATCATTAACCTTGCCATGTGCTGATCTATGTATCATAGTTGATACATGCTTATTAATTGGTACCACGTAACGAAGTATTTTAGTGCATTTACTTGTCTATAAAGCAAGGAATGATTTCGCTGCGAAAAAGGGGAAATGAGATGTGCACACTTGTTTTCATTCAGTATCACGTTAATATTTTTACGATTGATCATTTTCTTTATTAGTTTATTACAATAGAGAATAGATTTAAATCGTTTTGACAAAAAAATATTCGGTTTTCAAAAAAAATAAAAAAAAACAACTAAATAAACCCTTTATGATATACAAATACCGTAATTCAAAAAAAAAAATGTGATAATAAATTGAAAACAATTTTAAAGGGTTGGGATGAAGGCACAACTGTGCAAGCCTTTCCTTTTAAAAGGAAACTTTATTTTCTTTACAGATAAGTTAAAACGAAATACCGTAATAATTTGCGAAATTATCTGAAAATCGTCTCCAGATAGATGATTTTTAGCTAACCGTTACCAGATGATTTTTAGCTAACCGTTACCACAAAAGTCACGTGATTATCAGTTGTGAATTTTAAAACCGCTTAATCTAATTAAAAGGTAAAACTTCTTGCTTATTTTTTTACGTAAAACTTGAGTTTCATTAAAGCTGCATGTCTCCAGATGAATGCTAATTTAAACCTTTTTTTTTTTTTTTCTTTTTTTTTGCGAAAAGAGAATTAAATGAATAAGAAAGTACAATATTAACAAGTGAACAAAGAAAGGCACTTTAAGTCCTCGTACATTACCAACAAAATATAAAAAATACCTGAAAAAAAGAAGAAAAAAAGAAAGAAAACTTACTTAATTCAGTAGATGCATGATGATAAATTCTGCAAAATCAGCCATTCATTGCATGTAACATGTAAATTGTTACTTGAATTGTAAATACATTTTACCCTTTTACTATTCTTAAAGCTGCATACCTCCAGATAAGCCAAAATATCTCAATAAAAAGCAAACTTGAGGAAAACATTTACTAAGATTTTAGAAAAAGTAAAAAGATTTAAGATTCAAGTTATACTTAACATGTTATATGCGATTAATGACTGAATTTTATGAATTAATAACTATATTTGAGCCGCTTCACGACAAAACCAAAGTTATGCTTTTGCAACCAGCATGGATCCAGACCAGCCTGCGCATTCGCGCAGTCTGATCAGAATCCATGCTGTTCGCTTACCAACTCTTTTACAAGTAGAGAAACTGATAGCGAACAGCATGGATCCTGATCAGACTGCGCGAATGCGCAGGCTGGTCTGGACCCATGCTGGTCGCAAACTCATTATGTTGGTTTTGTCGTGACACGGCTAATTTCTAAGGTTTATTTTTGCATATTTTGACTTCCCTTTGGTAGTTTACGTGGATTACAAATGTCATTGATAAATGTGTAAATTGCTTCCTTTTGGTTATTTCACAATATCATACATTCAAATACATTTTCAAAATTTCATGAAAATAAGCAGGAATCTGGAGGCATGCTGCATTTAGAACATTTTTTTTCTTCGGGTGATTTTGGTGAAATTTTAAGACATTAAAAATACTTACTGCAAAATTGTCTGCTATGTGCTATGGTCTGCTTTTGTTATTGTTATTTTTTTATAAAAATGTTTAGTTTTTACACTATTTGTTGAATCTTTGTAATACATGTAACATTGAAACTGTTAGTGACAGGGTTTTCTATATAGTAGTTAGTCTTTGTCTGGAGGTTAACTGGTCATTGGCTGCAGTAGAACTGTTTAGACAGTATAGAAAATTGAACATGTCGAAGCTAAAGTGTTTTATCAAAGTCATTGCTTTTAACTTCCACACCAAACACGTGTTATTAATTTTTATGTTTTATGTACATTTGTAAATGTTATAGATAACTCATAGTATTGTTAATAAAATTTGAATTTTTGTTTTCCTCTGTGTTTGTATCATTCAAAAGATGGCAAAGAATAGCCCCACACCCTCACCGTCCGTTGACTACATGGTCTCAGTGGCAGGTAAGAAAATACAATGTGCAAGAAACCGAATAGATAAGTCGGTAATCCCAGTCAGCCTGAATTTTTTTCTCACCCTGTTATAAACAAGTCAGAAATTTGTGTCTGGTGGAAACATTACATAATTATGAGGGTAAAATACCAATGTCAATACATATACTATCTTGTCAACAATTATCTACAATTTGCACGTAGTGTATTACACTTTGATACATTATAACTGGAAACCAAAGAGACTGTTTTGTTAGAAAACGGTAATATCAAATTTGAGAAAAATACTTTAAGATAAGTCCGTTTAGGTTAAGCGGTCTGAACATTTTCTTGAGGTAAATGCGAAAGTACAGGGTTTTCTTTACCTGACCTTTTCCTGACCTAATACCGTAACTTACTAGCTAAAACGAATTTTCAATACAATACAGACTTTTCACAAGCATGGTGGTTTCAGGATGACTGTGACGTTTGCAGAAAAAGCTGTCTACAAGTGATGCAGAAAAGTTGCAGCTGAATCAAATAGCATAAAAAAGCAGAAAACTGATTTCTATCAATATAACCCAAGTGCCTCATCAAACATATATTGATAAGATACATTTTAAAAAACAAATGTATTCTACACAATCAACCTCTTCACAATGTCAACCAAGCTATTTAATTATCTATTAGATTGATAATAACATCTTTAGATAGGTCTATTAACGTGGGTTGTAGGAGCCTCAGGCTATCACCGTGGGTTAACTTGAGATAAGAACATCATTTAATAAGCATATTTCTGTGGGCTGTGTGAGCTTTACTGTGTTCCCTACGGCTTTCATCGTCGGTTAACTTGAGAGACATGAAGCATTAGATATGTCAATCATCGTTGGTTGTGTGAGCTTTTCTGTGTTCCCTGGACCTATCTTAACTATGTTAACTTCAAATAAGAGGTATTGGATAGACGTATTACCGTTGGTTATGCAAGCGTTACTGTGTTCACTGAGGCTATCACAGAGGGTTAACTTGAGATTAGAAGCATTAGATAGAGCTATCACCGTGTGTTGTGATTCCCCGAGGCAATCACCATGGGTTAAATTGAGATAAGAAGCATTAGATAAAGCTTTCACCGTGGGTTGTGTAAGATTAACTGTGTTCCCCGAAGCTATCACCAAGGGTTAAATTGAGATAAGAAGCATTAGATAGCGCTATCACCGTGGGCTGTGTGAGCTTTACTGTGTTCCGTAAGGCTATCACCGAGGGTTAACTTGAGATAAGAAACATTAGATTGAACTATCACCGTGGCCTGTGTGAGCTTAACTGTGATTTCTGAGGCTATCACCGATCTTAAGATAAGAAGCATATGATAGACCTATCACCATGGGTTGTGAGAGCATTAATATGTTCCCTGAGGCTATCACAGAGGGTTAATTTGAGACAAGAAGCATTAGATATAACTATGACCGTGGGTTGAGTGAGCTTTACTGTGTTCCCTGAAGCTATCACAATGGGTTAACTTGAGATAAGAAGCATAAGATAGACCTATCACCACGGGTTGTGTGAGATTTACTGTGTTCCAAGAGACTATCACCCAGAGTTTACTTGAGGTAAGAACCATTAGATAGGCTTACCACTTATGGTTGTGAGAGCTTTACTATGTTCCCTGAGGCTATCACCGACGGTTAACTTGAAGATAGGCTTACCACTTAGCGTTGTATGAGCTTTACTGTATTCCACGAGGCTATCACCGTGTCTGAACTTAACATAAAAACTATTAGATAATCCTATAACCATGGGTTGTATGAGCTTTACTGTATTCCCGGAGGCTATCATCGTTGGTTAACTTGATATAAGAACCTAAAGATATGTGTTTCACCGTTGTTTGTGTGAGCTTTACGGTTTAGAAAGCCCCGTCACCATGCCTTGTATGAACTTAACTGTATTGCAAAAAGTTTTTACCCCCAATGTTTAAAATTAGAGTTTAAAAACTGAAAAGAAGGGGGGCTATCACCGGGGGTTAAAAGTGAGATTTTTTTTTTTTGTTTCCCCTCTTTGTCTATCACTGTGTTTAATTTTGAGACAAGTATAAGAGAGGGGTGTCACATTGGGTTTTGTGAGCAACTGTCTTTCTTAACCCTTTCCCCATGAGCATATTGTGAAAAATGACCGTTTTCACTGAAAAGCCTCCTGTTACAAGTTCAAACTGCTATGAAACTATGAACTATGAAAAATGCTTCAATACTATTCAAACTTGGCACGAATGTAGACTGGACCATTGCCTTTGTAACGACATGCTCAGTCTTAAATTTCCTGTTACCATGGCAACGAGGGGACATCTCAAAATTGCCAAAAATCACTATTTTGCCTCGATTTTTTCCATCAAAATTTATTTCAAAGTGCTGCAACTTCTCAAGGGATTGGGATAGAGTCAAAGGCTTTTCAGTGTTGGTTACACGTTACATTATGATCGACCTGGGGTCATTTTTAGCCTCTCACAAGTCCAAAATTTTCTTGGCGATGAGGGGGACTCCGCCCCCCCCCCCTTCAAACCCCCCTAACAGAAGGGGGCACATCCCCCTTCTGGCAACCCCCTGATGTATCTTTTGGATGGGGGGGCGGCGCCGAAAAAGTGCTCAATTTTTTAAGCAACATTTCTCATAATGTAAGTGAAAATCAATATATGTGTCTGACCTAAATCAAACTTTTTTAATATCTCACGATTCTCTATTATTATGCGCCGGTAGGTAAGAATTACTTCCCTTTAGTTTATCTTGGCAACATAAAAACATTTTTTTAAATTTCACTTTGGGATTATTTATAGGATACTTCCCTAGTTGGTAATGGTATGTTTTCTTATCATGCAATTTCATTAAGAATGCATCTATCGTTTTATTGTTAAGTTAACACTAATTTTATCTAAAAATAGATTTTTTTTCACAAACCACCTGCAAAATGTTAATTGACTCTCAGTTATAATTTGACGCAATAAATGGGTGAAATTCGTTTAAACAGTTAATGCAATTTGCTGCCATATTAGATGTGCCAGGCCTTTTCCTAGACATTTTTGGACAAATCACCTCACACAGCATCGTAAAACTGATTGTCAAAAATATTTGCAGGTAGCTTTCAAATCCTTCTGTCAGGCTCTTTTGGTGTCGTATTTTTAATTATGTTAAATTAATTACAACCAATACAAATATCAGCCAAAGAAAAAAAAGATACAACATGATTTGACGTAGTCCTATAAATATGACGACACTTTGAGATATTTTTGCTTCTGGGCAAAGCAGGCTTGACTGACATAAACTCATAACAAGCCTGTAACGTCTAATATATTGGACTAGATTTGACGATGAAATGTGAGGAAACATCTGTCTGTTATGATACCAGAATGAACTTGTCAGGATAGAAAATAGGACAATTTGGATTATCAATAAGATGACGGGTAACCCAATTAATCTAGCATTAATTTTTCTCTAACCGTGACACATCTCCCAGCAAACACAAGACGTCAGATTTAAGTCAGGTTCTGACGTCGGATGACAGTCGGAAAAACGGTTGGATTTGAAAGTTTTTTTGACGTAATAATCTGACGTCAGGTAGACGTCAGAATCTAACCATTATTTAACCTTTTTCTGACCAAAATCTAACCAGTTTCTAACCATTTTCCGACCTCAATCTGACCATTTTCCGACCTCAATCTGACCATTTTCCGACCTAAATCTAACCAGTTTCTAACCATTTTCCGACCTCAATCTGACCATTTTCCGACCTAAATATTAACCCTTTCCTGCCCTAAATCTGATCATTTTCTGACCTTCATCTGATCATTCCCCTAAAATTTCACCACGTCATAAATATTTTCTGGCTAATCCTGATTTGATCGAATTTAATGTAACTCATTCTATTAAGTAACTTTCCCTCCAATGAAATGTATCACAGAAAATTAAAAGCAAAAATATGTTTTTATGCTTTTTTAATTTAAAAAAAAGTTGCAATTTTAAGCTGATACATACAATTTTAGTAAATTCTGCAAGGTTAAATAATTTTCATAAATTAAACAAAATAAAACATAAAATAAGTTAATTACAAAACAAAAAGTATTACAAAAACAATGACATAAATGAAACTAAGAAAACATGTACAAATATTAAAGAACAAAACAATGTATGCACATTTCTATCAAAGTTTGCCTTATCAAATAAAATAATGAAAATATTATAATTTTAAGAAAAGTTAAAAGATTCTGATAATAATGTTTCAAGCAATTAATGACAGATTTTCAGTATTTAACTATATTTCTACAGCATTTCTAAAACATTTAGTGCCATTTTGCATATTTTGACCTCCTTTGATAATTGTCAGTAATGTATAAATTGCTGCCTTTTAGTTACTTCACAAAGTTATACTTTTAGATATCCATGAGAATTAGCACGAATTTTGAGGTGTGATGCTTTAACAAGCAGAGTTAAAACATGTCAATTTTAAAAAGATTTATTATTAGACATTATCGCGAATTTGTGTGACATTTTACTTCAGCTGTTCAAATAATGATAATTAAATTTAAGAGTGCTTGCAATCATGCAATTATTTATCAAATACAAAGTAGAAATAAATCTAAATAAATTGAACTGACCTTTTTGTTCAAGAAAATCTATAATATTCACTTTATCAATGCATCCCGATTCCTGACCGACAGCCAAAACGTAACGCCTACGAATTTGAATTTCCATCCACGTGACTTTAGATTCGAATTATAGGTTAATTATGTTTTCTTTCCCTTTTCTGTCACTATGATTAAATGTTAAAGCACTATTAAAAAAACTCGTAATTTTGATACATATAATGTACCACAAATGATAATATTATAACGTTAAATGATTGGAACTTGTAAACAGATCTGTGGCTATAAATAGATTTCATAACAATAACACATGTAACTTGCCTATATACAGCGCCACCTATATGTTTTATTTGGTTGCAGCGCCGCGATCTTGGTCTGTATTGATTTATATAAGAACACTTCATTTGTAATCCAAATAACATTTGAAAGAAAGTTTAAATGATTACAACAGCGAATAAGGATTATTTTTTTGTTATTTTTTACCTACCGTCAGGACACCGACCAGAACCTGACGTTAGTACGACGTCAAAAAGAAACGTCTAATAGACATAGGTATTTTAACGTCAGATTTACGTCGTATTTTGGTCGCCGACGTCGTGACCAAAATCTAACATTAATCCGACGTTATTTTGACGTCATGTGTTTGCTGGGCTAATACTGTATCAAACTGTGATATGTGGAAATGCTTAGGGGAACAAATCATGGCCACCAGTGGATATTCAAGCAATGCACCTAACACTAAGAAGTTTTCTTGCAAAATATTATAAATCTAAAAGGGTAATCAACATGAAAATTTCCTGTCCTCCAGGTAGAGGTGTCAGTGTTCCCTAAAAAACAGAGAGAGTCCTGTTAAATCATAATATATGTGGCAATAATTTGTTACCATGAGTATTTTCTCTGTGCTAGTTTGATACACCATATTTTCTAATAGTCTTAACTTTTTTTGCAAGTTACCTGAAAGTTTCTTTGATGTGTAAAAATGTCTAAATGTTATTGTGTTTGATCTGGTAATGGTTATCTAAATAAACATTTGGACAAACATGGTCATTGGTATTGACTCTAAATTCAAATAAGACGGGGTCAAAATTCATTGACTTCGGACAATAATATTTCATTTATGAAAACTTCATTTTTATTTTAAGTATCAACAGGGTAGGAATTAATAGGAAATCATTAATATTTCTCAGGACAGTAGGAAATACTGAGAATTTCTGGGAAATATAAAGAAATCTTTATAAATACCTGAGATTCTGGCACAGTCTTTGTGGCTAATACTGGCCAGGTATACCTGAAAGTGATTCAGCCTTTGTTCATCTTATGAAACAGACAGGTCAATAAAAGGGCTCTTCCCAATAGAGATCTACCGTTTTCCCCAAAATCCAAACTTACGCTAGCATTCCACTTTCCCAGGTCATTTTCTATCCCCATAAAATTTCAGCCAACTCTATACATACTATTAGTGTTTCAAATTATTTTTTGTCCAATAGAATTGCAGTATTTCAAATGAATCGTAACACATTTACTTTGGTAAATCAGCAAACTGTTCATTTAAGTCTTAAGTAAATCGACTGTTTATATAAATAATTTTAAACATTAAGCTGGTTAAGATTTATTACTACTTATTTACAAAATTAAATTGGTTGTGGGGCTGTGCCGAGCCTGATCAATTTAATTTTGTAAATACATACTTATAAACTTTAACCAATACATAATGTAAAGTAAAAGGAATTGGAAATAAAATATAAAAAAAATCATTGATTAAAATAACTAAGTAATAGGCTAAAATAGTGAATGTTACAGTAAAAGCTATTAAAATTTCCAAAAATATAAATATACACTGTAATAGATAAATATTAGAGCATTTTTGTATATAATGTTTTTTTCTTTCATTTTACCATCTAGGGGCGAGTTTCATATTAATATATAAAAAAAAATTGACTTTATTTAAAACCACTTAGGCACTTAAACCAAGAAAAATGATAAGATAATATTAAATGATTATGGCTTTAACTAATCATTTTATTAAAAATTTGATCTAAATTTTCTATTCAAATGTATAATTAGCTGTTGTTTTTTTATTATTGATTTAAGTAAAAGGTAAATGATGTTATACACAAGCTTATCATGTGTTTCTGGAATAAATTGTTTAAACAAGTCACTTGTTTATTTATGTTTGCATACCTTTTTCCAATATAGAATGATAAAGTTATTGTGTAAAGTATTAATTTAAAAGTTTAACAACGACAAGCTTTATCTTTACCTGTAGCTAAGGTAAAAATGGAATTCCAAATAAATTATTTGGAATGGTCTAATCATTGAAAACTTTTTTGCGAGTAGTGCATATTTTTACAAACTTTAAGGCACAAAGGAAAATTTATAGCTAGTGTAGATGATTTTCTTAAACATTGCTTGTTTAACCCTTACCCTACTTTTAGACTACGCAACCAGAATACCGCCAGGCCAGCCTACACATTTGTGCAGTCTGACCAGGCTCTGGCTCTATACCGTGAGTGGTGGCAGACAAACTTCAAATTTTCATCTTGATATCCCAAAGTTGATAATGGATAGTTCAAAAAAAGGAAACTAAACAAGTTTATTTAAGAAATTCAGCAGGTTAAAGGTGAAATATTAGTTGCAACACATAAACAAAAGAGATATTGCAGGATGCCGTTCTTATTTTTGAATTATCTGCCCTTGAAAATAAAGAAAGTGCTGAGCTCCCTTGTGAGAAAAAAAGACAATTTACAATGGATAAAATGAAATATGCCTCTCTCAGGTTTTGTTTTAAATTACATTGATATTTCTTACAGTATATCATTTTATGTCAAAATTATGTATCTCACAATTTTTATTGACAATTTGTTTTTTGTTTTTCAGATTACAGTTGCATAAAGACGATGATTATTTACCATTCGATAAAAATCTGAGTTAAAAAGAGGTTTTGCACTTCAATTTTAAAACCCGAGCACCATGGCACATAAAAATCATGTTTCGCCTCTGCGTGAAAAGGGAAATACAGATCTTGAATTTGGTGGTCCAAAAGTTTCAAGACCTGACTCTTCCCTTAATAGACCAGGGAAGAAATCGGAAATTATCATAAAGGAACAAAAAGAAAAAGCTGAAAAATTTGAAGCTTTTTACAAAAAGTTAGGTAATCAAGTGATTCCCGAAGATAAGAGAATTGATTATGTGTTGGTCTATCCAAAAGTTAATTTGAAAGAAATCGAAGACGAGGATGACCGTAAAGAGGTAGAGAGACAAATTGAGCTCCGAGAAAAGTTTGAGTTTGCAATGCACAAGGAGGGACTTATGAAACAAAAGATTGAAATAGATAATTATGTATATACAAAACTTCATTGCCCATTCAGAAGGTTGTGCGAAGAAGCAGAGGCAGTGTCACTGGAGATGCCTTTATTAGGGGTATGTACATGTATATTATAATGGGTAAATATTATAAATATGGCTGAGACAGCCTCCTTATCTACATGTAAGTAGGTATAAATTTGACTTTGGAAAAATAATATACCAATTTGTTTGATGGATGTGGGCTCAGGCAAGAAGTTAAATTGTCTGGTTTTAACTGCTCTGAATCATAATTGCTTTAGGTTAGAATCCATAAGAATTAAGCCACCTAGCTTAATTGCAGGTTGTTTTTGTCTTTCATCAGCCATGATAGCCCCTGATTATAAGTTGCAGCTGCTTTTTGGCTGTCCTGAATAGTGGTTGTGCGTTTCAGAATGTGATCTCATCATTAAAAACAAAACCTTTTGAATCAAAAGAGTATATTAGCTAAAGAGTTTTTCAAAGAGGTGTACTGAAAGTATGCCATGGCCATTATTTCAGGAATTTTTAGCCATAATTCAGAACCCTAATTCCCTTTTCAAAAGAATACATATTTTCCCCTATATATTAAAAAGGTTCCCCCTCAAAATTGCCTCTTTACTTTAAATGCCCAAGCCTGAGACCCTAAACAATATTCTATTGAAATTTTCTCTTTTTTCATCTGAATGAAATATGTTATACTTAATAACATAATAAGGACACTCTTTATTGTATTTAAAAACAAAAAAAAATAAGCCTGAATTAAACCCCTCCAAAGGAAAAGTAAATGAATTTCCCCCAGGTACTCAGAGAGAGCCTTGATTTGAATAAAATTTTAGCAAGAGATTATGTACAAAAATAGCTTGGGTTTTTAGGAGAAATACCTTTTCTTATTTAATAGGTGTGTAACTTTTGTTTATCTGCTGTTTAAAATGAATGTTAAAGAACTGAATTTTTAAGGTTGAAGTGAGTTGATGTGGTACAGAATATAATGTGTACATTGGCACGATTTGGAATATCTGTCCCTCAGGAACCCGCCCATGGGCAGTTACTAATGGCAAGCCTCGTTACTGCCCAATGGAAGGGTCCCCTCTGGACGGATATTCCAATCCGAACCGCAACATATGACAGATATTATTAATATGTATCTAAAACAACATTTTGAAGTATATAATCAATTCATTGATCAAATTGAAAAAAAGAAAAGAAATTGTTATAGCATGCAATTATTATTTTGATTTTTGGTCTATTTTAGTGTGAAAGTGAACACAAAGAAGAAACGAATCGTTGTACAGACTGGATAACAAAACGTTTAGTAACAGATAATGAAGGTATGGCAATGATATTTAAACTTGATGTGTTTTTGTCATTCTTTAGGTTTCTTTCTTTTCTCTTTGCATTCCTTTAATGAAAATAGATTATTTTAAAAACCGCGGCGCAGGAGTGTATATTATTAAGGCATTTAATAGAAACAATATAACACTAGTGTAATAACACTTGATGTAATGTCAATTGCATTATCTGTAAATATAGCATTAATATAATAATGTTATATGCCTGCTAAGCTCAATCAGTAGAGCATTATATTATATATTAGTAATCTGAGGTCCTTTCTCTGCTCCTTGGATAAAGTGAAATTTGTCAGTGATAGTACAGGGGTGCGTTTCACTTAAAGTAAACGTTCTAAGGTTATCGTAACTGGAGTTTGAACGTAACTTTTTCTTAAGCGTAACTCTCATACTTATTTGCGTTTCACTAAACTTTCTTAGCTATGCTTTTGTGTAAGTTTAAATGTAAAGTTACGCTCACTTATTGCTGGCGTAAATTGCTCGTTCTGTTTAGTGAAACGCAACTTAAGTAAATTTACATTTTGCGCTAGTCCAATTTACATTAAAAGATACGCAAAACTTACAGATGTTAGTGAAACACTTCCAGGTCTTTCAAGACCTCTTGTAGCTATCATTTTATTAATTGTATGAATTTAAAATAGTAGCCACAACTAAGAATTGAACTTACTTGAACTATCACTAAAGAATAGGATAAAAATAACCAAATTTCACTTCATTCACGGATAAATATATTTTATTACTTTTGAGTTACAGTCTTACTCTATTGAAACTTTATTATCAAACTTGAAAGTCACTGAAAATAGTAAATGAGTAAAACTGCTCGTATGATGCCATTCCTGACATTTGAAGACAATTTCACAAATTCTAAAATAATTTATCATATTTTTAACTTTTTGTATTTTTTTTCTTCAGGGCAACCAGTCTTTTCAGTCATTGCTCAATTAATATAATTATGCTTCTATTGGTACTTGGAAACTGTTAGCCAGCCCGCATAGCTCAATCGGTTAGAGCGCGAGACTTGTAATCTCGACATTGTGGGTTCGATTCCCGGGCTGGCCAACTAAAATTACTAATCAGTCTTTCGGATGAGACTTTAAATCGAGGTCCCGTGTATGGGTGCTTAAACACTTGGCACGCTAAAGAACCAGGAGAAGCTTCTGGAATTGGGGCATCTTTCTGTATCTATAATTGCACTATCCTCCAAAAAATAAAATGACTAATACTCTTCTGGAGGACTCGCCCATATAGGCAACCGGTGGCGAGTATAAATAAACGCAAATACACACACACAATTGGAAACTGTTAGTCATATTAGCGCGAAGCTTCTTAAAGTGCTTTTCTCAAGTGGTCCTTGCCAATTTTTCTAACCCTTTTTTCACCAACTTTTCTTGGTAAATACATTGAATTGAACAGTCAGTATCTGTGGTGTTAAATTATAGCAGTACGTGTTTATTCATTTATCCTTTTTATAAGAAATTACAAGGCATTTTCAGACATTAAATTTTACATAGATCTAAATGGTATCCAGTGTGAGTATAATTAATGCACACAAATCACCAGGCAGAGTGAAGTGTAATTATACTAAGTAGCTAGCTGCAAACTGTTTCCAAACAAACTTGGGAGTTTAAGGGTTCAGTCTTACCTTGGGTTCAAACTTGGGAGTTTAACTAAGTGTTCAGTCTTACCTTGGGTTCATTCTTTTCTTGGGTTCATTTTTTTCTTGGGTTCAGTCTTCCCTTGGGTTCAGTCTTACCTTGGGTTCATTCTTTTCTTGGGTTCATTTTTTTCTTGGGTTCAGTCTTACCTTCGGTTCAGTCTTTCCTTGGGTTCAGTCTTTTTGGGTTCAGTCTTACTATTGAGGGTTCTCAGCCCTTTTTTGTTTGGTCTTACAAAATTAAATGAAGACTAAAACATAAGTACAATCTTGCAGGGTGTACTATTTTAAGTGACTATTTTATAGAAATTGTAATTGACATGTATCATATATTAGAATTAAGATAGCATATTTAGTTAAATGCTGTTTACAGATTAGTTTAAAATAATCTATTATAATTCTTAAACCTTACGAAAATTTTGAGACCGTTTTGATAAAATTTTCTAGGCTGGTGTTTATAAATGAAAATACAGTTGTAGTTTTGGACTTAGACTATTTTCAGCACAAAATATCTGCTCTGTATTTTCTAAGTATTAGTATCGCATATGTATATCTAAAACACAGTTGTGGTCTCAAAAATACGCCTGTAAACCCTTTAAACACACCTGTATTTCTTGGTAAAAAATATCAGATTTTATTTAATTTTACACATGAAATATGGTGCTATACAGCCATAGAATATATATCATATTTGTAAGAAAACAAATATGAAAAATGAATATTAAAGTGGGTGGAGCCAAAACTCATATTTATATTCGGGACTACAGTAAAGACTGTGTACAGTGACCTTCGCTGGGAGAATTTATTATTTACTGATATGGTCACTAAAGACAGAACGTCGCTATATACAGGGGGTCACTAAGACAGTCTTTACTGTACTTTCTCAGATGGTTCTTTGTTGCTGTCAGTAGCTTCAGCTATTCCTATCATCATCCAAAACTATCTGGTTTAATAGTTTGCAAAACCATTGAAGATCATGCTGTGATAAATTGTGTGTTGATTTCAAACAGTGTCTGACACACCTACAATTGATCAAGGTATTACTGTGTGCTGTATAATAATTGCAATTGCATAACAAATAGGTGTATTTTTTTGTAAACAACTTTTTTTTCTTTAAAGGGAGACACAGGCAAAAATTTTCATTTCTTAGTTTTGAGTTTTTCTGTCATTATTCTGTAAATGCCCTCAAAATGAATATATTAGACAGTCAAAGGAACAAATCTTTTCTCCATATTTATAATAAAATTTATATATATATTTAGAATAAAATGGTGGTTTCCTAACTTGACCCGCGTGGGTCAGGTTAGAGTGCTAGGATTTCACAATAGTTGTCAAAGTCAACTCTGGAAACGTTAAAGAACATGTCAAATGTATGACTTAGACTTGTTAAAATCAATCATACAATATCCATAATATCTGCTATTGTAACTTCAAGGGTTTGATCAAGTCATGTGACTTGTTTTTAAACTATTTGGTGATTCTATTGAGTCTAAATTTTGTTCAACATTATAGATATATTTATGCTTCAGACCGAACCTGTTTAAACAGATAAACGTGGCACCCCTATATTTTAAGCCATAATCTTCATGCTCATGAAAGGGGCAATACTTAGAACAAACTTGGACACCTATTCCTGTCTTCTTTTTCCCCCCATCATTTAACAACACTCTGCAGGCATGATGATCCATCATTTATCTCAGCATAAAATGTAAAATGGAAGGCTTTTATTTGGCCAGGATTCTTTTGAACATAGGCCATTTTTCAATGAATGTAATTATTTATTAAAGTTGTCTTACTGTAAAGCTTTCCCGCCAAATAAATTTTAACATCAGCCAAAATTATAATAAATCAGCGGACATTTCTGGAATGTTAGTTACACAATCCTCGGTATTCAATTATTTTTAACAATTTATAATTGGAATTTAGTTCATAGTGATAAAGGATGAATGACTGTTAATAATCTAATGACCAATATTTTGAAAAAATTACATTCTGAAAATAAACGATTTGCTAAGATATTGGCGGATGTAAGAATTTTTTGGCAGGAAAGCATTACGGTAAGACTACCTTAATTAAGGACTGACAAATTGTGATGGAAGTGTGTATACATTTGCTCACCTGAGATATAGAATGCCTTATAGAATTAACTGATTAATATTCATTTTCTCTTGAATTAATTATTAACTTACACAATTCAATTCTTACTTCACTTTCCTACTTTCTATAAACCAAGTTTAACAGTCTGATTAATTTCAAAGTTTGGATGTTTTTCTACGTGCAAACCATAATGGAACAAACAATTTTAAAAACTTCAATCCATTTGATAAATCTAGAGGTATATCTAGCTATAAGACCCTCAAAACTGATATACAATGAATTAAAATTTCTCCAACAATAAGTTGTGTATTAGAATGAAATGTCAAATATCTAGGTAACTTTGCAAAGGATAACATGAGGTACTTTAAAGACTCACATAGACCTGGCTGAAAAGAATAATTCTTGATTAATGAATGGTCACCATTATAAATTTAATAGTGTGTTATTAAAGACTCCTTGGGCTCCAAATGTTTTTTTGCTTTCCGATAAGATTGCTTCAGGAACGTTCCAGTTTAAAAAAAAAATTTTGTAGGAAGAAAGTGGTTCTACAAACTTTAAAAAAGTCTTAAATATTGCCTAAGGATTTCAGCCTTAAATGAGGCTATAGATGTAGTTATGTGACTTCTGTCATGACTAAAGATGAGCTGAGGTCAAGTGTTTAAAGTGTCGACACCTTATTTAAAACATTTCAAAGTTCTGCAACTTTTTAGTTTTAGTGACCATCATAAATTACTGATTTATCTAAGAAGAAGACTGACAGAGCTTATCAACATATTAAGTGTAATTAATCTTAAAACGTTCTTCACAAGCAATCTTAAGGAAGATATTTAATGGAACCATTTACTTTAATTAGCCTGAACTCTCTTGAGCAAAAGTAGGCTATGGTTGGTCTTCAAATATACTGTACATTATATAGATCAGTTGATCATTCCCTTTCACTATAGTCTATAAATATAGATCAATTATAGAGATCAATAGAAAAGTATTGATTACATGATTATACAAAAGAGATCAGATACCATTATAAGCCTGGGGAGAATGTCGAATGGTGTAATCTAAAATGATTGTAAAATAATTGTAATTGTATTCAACACAATATCTCGTATCCAATAACAAAATATGCAGTGTTATTTTGGTTTTAGAAGGTTAAAGTTACAAATAGGTTTTATTGTGATGATAAATACCTGGTGTTAAATATAAAATATCTGAATAGACTTTACTTATGCACATT